AGGTGCGAATGACAATAAAGAAACTCTGACTCTGACTCTGACTCTGATAAATAGCACTTTTTCAAAGTGGATCAAACCAGTCTGCTGTGGACTTCCAGAAACTAGCTTTCACATCTTGCAAAAGGAGCACCATCGGTGTAAGGTCAAGGTCAAGGTTTGCTTTATTGTCATTCACATCTCATGTGGTACATATGGTGGAACAAAATTGTGTACACAGGCTCCCAGTTACATCCAACAAAAGAATAAATTGTAAAGAAAAACAGTAATAAGAGCTAAGATATGAACTAAGAAATTTGCTGAACTAAAAATATACTACCGATAGCAGTAATAGTACAAAAATAACACGCCGAACAACAGCAGCACGAACATGAGTCTGTGTGAACAGATGAGGACGAATGAACACAGCAATATGAAATAAATCCACTGCATGGATAATCAGCAGCATGGATAATCAGCAGCATGGATAATCAGCAGCACATATCAACAATCAAGTGGAATTACAGTGATATTTTTTAGCAACAATTTTTGTAACAATCGATCATTAGTGACGTGATGGCTGCTTGTTATTTACCGAACCAGACTGAGGACAACCTGGCCATTGTGGTTCAAAAATGTCCTGATGAAGTGTCAACCTAATTCACGATGGCTGCCACCAATGGCAGAGCTAGGGCTTGGCCTGCCGTAGCCGTGGCCACCATAGATTAATTGGTACCACTTTACAATAAGGCTCCCCTTACAGATGGCTAATAAATAGTTTATAGACACATCAATTATTCCTCTATAACCACTTTATAAATCATTAATAGCTGCTTATTATGCATTATGCACTATTATGCATTATGCATTATGCACTCTGAATGCAGAGGTGCGTACCCTGCTGGAAGCCAGGAACACTGCCTTCAGGTCTGGAAACTCAGAGGAGCTGAGTAGGACAAGAAAAGAGCTGGTTGCTGGTATTAAGAGGGCCAAGGCCACACCTAGGACTGTCAGACCACATCTCAATCTTCCTGGCTCCTGCTTACATGCCCCCGCTGAGACGCTCCAGACCGGTTCAAAAGAAAGTTAAATGTTGGAGCCAGGACAGTGGCCCCATACTGAGAGATTGTTTTGATCGAACAGACTGGCAGGTTTTCAGAGAAGCTGCTGAAAATGGAGGTTCGCTTGATCTTGACCAATACACATCCTCAGTACTGGGTTACATTAGTACATGTACTGACACAGTCTCCACTATCAGAAATGTTAAAAGCTACCCAAACAGAAAACCTTGGCTGAATGCAGAGGTGCGTACCCTGCTGGAAGCCAGGAACACTGCCTTCAGGTCTGGAAACTCAGAGGAGCTGAGTAGGACAAGAAAAGAGCTGGTTGCTGGTATTAAGAGGGCCAAGGCCACATATGCAAAGAGGATCGAGGGTCAATTCATCTCACAAGACCCTCGGAGCATGTGGAGGGGCATTAAGTGCATAACAGATTATAAAGGAAGGAGTGAACAATGCCCCAAAGACCCATCTCTGCCTGATGCCCTCAACAAGTTCTATGCACGCTTTGAAGACCCGAACAGACCACCCAGCACCAGACTCACCTCACCACCGGATGAAGAGCATCTCAGCGTGACCTCAGCAGAAGTAAGGAGTACCTTCAGGAGGATTAATCCGCACAAAGCAACTGGACCAGACAACATCCCCGGAAAAGTGTTGAAGGAATGTGCTGATCAGCTCTGTGAGGTGCTGGCAGACATCTTTAACACCTCACTTACCCTGGAGACAGTTCCCACCTGCCTGAAGACTGCCACCATCATCCCAGTCCCAAAAAGCTCTACAGTGACTGGTCTGAATGACTATCGGCCAGTGGCCCTCACCCCGATAGTCGCTAAATGCTTCGAAAAACTGGTCATGACTCACATCAAAACAACCATCAACATCAACGAGGACCCTCATCAGTATGCATACCGTGAGAACCGATCAACAGAGGATGCAATCTCCTCTGTGGTCCACACTGCGCTCAACCACCTGGAGCAGAAAAACTCTTACGTCCGTATGCTCTTTGTGGACTTCACATCCGCCTTCAACACCATGATCCCCCAAACCCTGATGGACAAACTATCCACACTAGGACTAAGCCCCTCCATCTGCAACTGGGTACTAGACTTTTTAACAAACAGACCACAGTTAGTGAGGATCCACAACCTCTCCTCCTCCACCATAACCCTCAGCACTGGCTCTCCTCAGGGATGTGTGTTGAGCCCCCTTCTGTTTACTCTGCTCACATATGATTGTGCAGCTACCCATCCAGGCTGTCACATTGTAAAGTTTGCAGATGATACAGCGGTGGTGGGATGCATCACAAACAATGATGAGTCCAGCTACAGGCAGGAGGTGGAACACCTGGAGAGCTGGTGCAGAGAGAATAACCTTCACATCAATGTGAAGAAGACAAAGGAGATGATTGTGGACTTCAGAAGGAACAAAAACACCTACACCCCCCTGAACATAAGAGGATCTGCGGTGGAAGTGATCTCCAGCTACAAGTACTTGGGTGTACATATGAATGACAACCTCAGCTGGAGCAACAACACCACCAGCCTGATCAA